ACTATGCATGAAATACAGAACATTCATATTTCCAGTCCATAAAATAGTGGCGAAACACACTAGGAATGAGATTTATGCTACAAATTCTGGTTGAATCAGTGAAATACATCGCATTTTGCATGGAACTTTGCACAATTTCACATTTGTGGTAAGTGTCGCTGTTCTTCGCCATTACGATTGCGCTGCAACGCTCTGAAATTTGCGACCAATGAAGTTCACGTTGACTAAATGCGAATTCTTTATTACCCGCTCTTCTCTAGAGTGATTCCGCGTTCCTGCTCCAACCATTTCTTTCTTGTTTCTTCATTGCCAAGTTTTGTCATTGCAAAATCGCGGAAGTCCGGAAGTACGATAATTTTCATTGCGCTGCGATTTGTTGGTAGATCCGGCATATTTTTCCATTCTTTACCATCAAACCTATTTAAAAGTGTGTAAACATATGGACTATGCGCGATGGAAAAATCCTTTCTAGGTCAACTAGTAGATGTTTAATGAATGTCTGGGTAAACAGTTGAACAATCTGACTTTATATGCATCAGGGTTTTGAACTGAATGTAGGGGAGATTACCTTTCTACTCCAGATATTGTAGACGATACCGAGTAACCACCAGCAACGACAAGCTTATCATTGAAGAAACAAGCGGAAAAGTTGGATCAGAAAAGAATATTGTGTTATTTTCACAACCCCAATTATCACAAAATTTATCTACCTCTTGTTCTTCATCGATGGTGCATCTTCCGACCATGATAGATGACCGATTTTCCATGTACAAACAGTAGTAAGCCGATCATCTCCATTGAAACCACCAAGTACAATCATAGTGTAGGGGTCATAGAGCAACATGCAGTGTCCTTGAAAAAAGTTATTAAAACAGGTTTTATTTGAATTTCATTATTTGCAAACAACCTGATCGAGGTGATGGCAAGCTGGCCACCTCTGTCCAAACATTTGTCGCTAATGAATACACTTCAACAGTTTGTAATACCTGGAAACTTTAAATGGCACACAAGAGTAAACCTCAATATCTCT